GCTGATTCCGGTTCGTGGCTTTCCTGCTGACTGAGTGACTTGTCCACTGTCATGCTATGGCTCTGGTCACCTGTCTGTAAATAGCTAGGTGGACTACCTCTTCTGCAGGGGTGAGGGTACTGAGCCTTAATAAAGATCTTCAAACACCTCATACAAACGGGGTAGTTTTATATCCAACAAAAATATCTTATTCCAGTAATCCAACAGTTTGTAGTTTCAAGGTCTTATAGTCAAGCTTGTAGTTATAAACAGCACCTGCTCTTTCCCGGTGCTGGTCCGTGGCTGTGAGGAGAGTAGAGGTGGGGTGTTAAGGTGTGGCACTAAGACTCTAGGAATGGGGGTTTACTCTGCCTGAGCTACAGGTTGTCTCAGTGCCTTTGAGCAAGTCCCTTTATCTCTCTGTGCCTCCTTTATAAAATAGGGACAATGATACTTCCTTCCCTTACAGGCATTTTGCAAAGATAAATTTATGAAAGCTCAAGAGGTGGTTGGATAGTAGCATGAAAGGGGGCATTGCGTCTGTCTAGAAAGGTACAGTCTGTGCACAATAGAGCTTGCTCTGGGCAATATTCAGTATTCAGAATAAATACCTCCTTTATCTGTAAAGTGCTAACTTAGGATATGATGAGTATAATTCCAAATACCGATATGCACGTTGGAGATTCTATTAGTTTTCGGATTGTGCCAACTCTGTGGTCCACGTTACCTCAAACACCAGTATTCTGAATGGCACCGCTGGGATGTTGCACATTTCTTCTAAATATTAGTGGAGTGCTTGGGTCATGTAAACATGATGCTGCATTCCTCAGGCTTGCCTATTGCCACTTACTGGGCATGTGCAAGTGTGAGCTGCCCAGTACAATTTGTATTCAAAATAATTGGCTTTGCTTGTCATGGAGGAACACCTGTAGAATACTGTGTGCTACTTGCCTGGAATTGAAGTTTTGGGAATGTGGCTGCTCCTGTGTTTTCTAAGCATGTATTTCAAAGTTGGGGGAATCAAAGCTGCATGCATATCACTTCAGTGTCCTTACATCAGGAATGAATTTGCCCCAGTATCATCTTTCACTATCCTCTGAAATATAAAGTCATGAAGCTGGTCTGAGATTCTGTGGTCAGCCCTCCCTTGCTGTTCATAAGAATGTGATTGTTTAAGGGACTTGACCAGGCGTGTGTGCGCGTGCAATTCCTCACACTGATACCATCTCGGAAGATCCTGGTTGTATTACGCCATTCTAGGATGAGAAGTATTATTGTCAAGTGTGTCAGCACTTTTTATTAGGGACCCCATTCAGACAAAGTTTTTCTATTTAGAACTGATTTGTCTGGGTATTTTTTCAGGGAAATGTTATCAAACTCCTCCCTCTTCCCCCCGCACTTCCCACCCTGCCTCTCCAAATGACCAAGCAATATTTAAAGAAACATTTTGTGGGTACTGATGCCTTTTGCATACTCATACAGTTAAAACAAAAATGGCTTTGACTTCCTGCCAAATTTCATTTGTTTTTCAATCAGGCAGTAATATAATCTAATTCTGTATTAAAAAAATTAAAGGAAGTTAAATTATGAAGCCAAAAATAAATAAATAAATACAATCAAAACAGTGGGAAAAACCTTTGAAGCCAGGAAATTCATAGCTGAGGTGTTCTGTTTGCCATTACCGCACAGTTCCTAGGTACAGATGTATTGTTACCACAGTTTCATTGCTATCAGGTCCTGAGCTACTGATATTAAAGCCTGCTTTATGTGCTGGATTTACCTATCCCAATCACAGAGTAGAGCAGCGATTCTCCACTAGGGTGGAGTGGCACCCTGGGGTTCCTTTTTAATCCTATTAAGGGTGCCACAGGGTGGCCAGCTACAAGTTATCTCTAGCATTGTGGCTTTTGTGCCCTAATGAATGCTGCTGTCCAAGCAAGAAGGGTAGCTCAAGAACGTAATTGATTATAAAAGAACATAAGAGTGCCGATCTGAATCTGTACGCAAAGGCTCATGGATTTTTAAGACGTTAATCTGTAGCAAGAAAACCTGAAACATTTGTGAGTACAAAATCCTCACTCAGAACGCACAAAATTGATCTTCATGGAGAGCAGGTAAATAAATAAGGTGTCTCTAGGCCAAGCTGCCTCTGAGATGTGACATGTTAAAAGGACTGAGATTTTCCAGAAAATGAAACTGGTTCCTTGTTTAATTATCACTCTCATCTTGATGAAATCCTTTGTCTATTCATCCCAACCTAACTCAATAGAACGCTAGCTCATGTGTTGTTCTTCCCACACCTTCCAGTAGTGAAAAATGTCTCCTTAGGATCATAGGGCTGGAAGGGACCCCGAAGGATCATCAGATCCAGCCCCCCACCCAAGCAGGAAAGATACCTAGGGTCAGACAACCCCAGCCAGGTGACCATCCAGTCTTCTCTTGAAGACCTCTAGGGGGGAGCTTGTTCCATAGTCTGGACACCCTAGTTGTGAAGACATTTTTCCCAACGTTCAGCCTGAAACTATCTTCTAGGAGTTTGTGGCCATTGTTTCTAGTTTTCCCCCAGGGCGCCCTGGTGAACATTTGTTCACCAAGCCCTTGCTGTACGCCTCTGATATAGCAGTAAGCCGCAATCAGGTCCCCTCTCAGCCTTCTTTTCCTCAGGCTGAAGAGTCCCAGATCCCTCAGCCTCTCCTCGTATGGCTTGCCATGCAAGTCTCTAGACCCTTTCGAGCTTTAGCATGTCCTTGTTGAAGTGTGGTGCCCAGAACTGGACGCAGTACTCCAGCTGCAGCTGCACCAATGTTGAGTAAAGTGGGAGAATCACTTCTTTGGTTTTACTGGAGAGGTATCGCTTGATGCATGCCAGAGTTTTATTGGCCCTAGCGGCTACTGCGTCGTTTTGCCAGCTCACATTCATGCCGGGATCTATTGTTACCCCAGATCCCTTTAGTTTGTAGTGCTGGTCAGGTTAGCGTTGCCCAGCCTGTAGGTGTGCTGGTGGTTCTTCCTTCCCAGATGCAGCACATTTTTTTACATAGATTTTGCATCCTTGTTTGTATCCCTCACATGCTTCAATCTGATAATTGCTGAATATCTCTACTATCCCGTATATTTGTCATGCTCAGCCTTTTGACCCTAATGGAAGGATGAGTGGCCCCTGTGTGCCTGGATTGGGCCCTGCGCTGCCTCTGCTCAGCCCCATACGCCTAAGTCAGACCCTGCACTGACATCACACAGCTCTGTGTGCCTGATCTAGTACTCGGGACCATGCTATCCAGCTCCCCACAGGTCCAGAAATTTGGCAGCAGAGGAGTGGCAATTAACACTGTCACTGCACCCTTCTCTCCCCACCCCGCACCTCCCCACCAGCCAGTTTTCAGCCCCACGGGGAGTTTGATGGGCCAGATGATGTGGCTCTGCAAACCAGGGGTTGAACACCCTTGCACTATACCATTCTCCTCTTAGCCGCCACCTTGGCTAGATTATTGTATGACATTCCCCTGGGGGTGACCATGAAGACCACACAAAAGCATCAAGTAATGAGGCACAGTGGTTCACACCAGTGCTCAGCACCTCCTGCTCCACCATCTTACTATTCTCTGTCCGTTTTAAAGTCTGAGGGCCAGACTCTGCCTGTGCAAATTTGTGTAACGCAAGCGTGGGTTTTTTTGTTGGTTTGTTTTTTTTACATAGATTTGCATCCATTTATACCTGCAGACAGTTTGGCTCCAAGTCCTCATCTTAAAAGCCATCAGTGAACTAAGATGGAACTACTTCTGGACCTCACGTTCCTCTGCACTTGTTTGAAAATGCCATTATCGACAGGGTTGTTACACCTCTCAGAGCCC